AGTAGGTTTGGTGTTTGTGGCAAATATTGACTTGGTAGAATTGATCTGAAGGTTGGCCATTTGGTAGAAAGATGCTGCCATTTGAGTAATTTGTTCTAACTTATTTTTGGATTAGGCAATCCATAATGTGTCATCCATATAAGCAAGAAATGAGGTAGAGACTTGAAGATGTTAGTGTTGAGGAGGTTGTAAACTGGTTTTCCATGATGTCAAAAGGATATATCCTGTAAATTGAGATGTGATTCTGTGAATAAGAGGGTTATAGTAGATATGCCAAAATAATGGTGTAATTGTTTCTCCTTGATCAATTCTATTTTTGACAGAATATGAGTTTGTAAGTCCAAGATTAGTTATAACTCGGTTGTGGTGGTAAATTTCAATAAAGTTAAAGACATAGCCTTACATTAATATTTAAAAAAAAAAATTAAATAAAATTGAAGTTAAAAGGACTAAATATAAAATATTTAAATAGTATTTAAGAAGTATTAAAAACAGTAGCTTAAATGAATAAAATAGTTTGAAGCTAACTATAAAATTGATAACCTTTATAAAATGAATAATAAACATTCTAGAAATGCAATTAGAAAAGATGAACATAAAATTTTTGAAAACTATTAAAAATCTGTAAAAATAAAGAATACTGATAGAACATATTATATTAAATCTTATTATAACAAAAAAATTGAAGTTAAAAAAGATAACTGTTAAATATTAAATAATTATAATAATAATACTAATAATAATAATAATAATAATTATAATAACAATAATAATAATAATACAATATGTAATAAAGATAACAATAAAACTGAGATCAAAAATAATAAAAATAATAAAATTGAAATTAGAAAATTGAATATAAAGTATTTGAATATTTTTAAAAGATTACTAAAAATGAGAACCTGATATGCAAACTTATTAATATTTTGAGTTAAAAAACTTAAATAAAACTTGTAATAATTAGAATAAAAGGATAAATAAATTAAAATATTAATAAAAAAAATAGAAAACTTAAAAAAGTTTAATAAGATTTACTTAAAATCAAATAGTTAATAACAAAAAAACAAAAATTAAAGTTATTATCATAATGTTAAAATTAATTTTAAAATAAAAAATGATATTATTGAATAATAAATCATAGACAAAAAAAATAGTAATATTAAAAGTAGAACAAGAAACTATAAACAATATTAAAAAAATATTTTTGTACTTATTACTGTTTTAATTAGTCTTAAAGGCATTTATTTTTAAAGAATATAATTATTATTATTATAAACAAAATAAAAAATAAAAAAATAAGTAAATAAAAAATTATCTAAATATTTACTTAAGTTTGTAAATTATTAAAAATTAAAAATCTTAAATACCTTCAGTCAATGGTGTAGATTCTAAAGAGCATAAGAGATTATTATTTTCTAACTCCAATTCCAATAATCGATCTACAAAACTTTTTGATCTTTCTGGTAATGTTTCTTAAGTCTTTTCTTTAGTCTTTTTGGATTTGTTTTTCTTGGAAATTTTCTTAGAACATGCAAGCATACCTGAGGACATTTTCTAATATTTGTATATAAATTTATTTACTATAAGTAAAAAATAGTTCTATTTCTTAGGGATTGGAACCATTATTTGTTTAACTGCCTATAATTATTTATTTATGTTATATGGTTAAATGAGTAACCAATTTTATAAATGGCTAAAAACCGTTAAATTATTCGTTTAACCATTTTTTAAATTTTATACGATTAATCGTTTAATGATCATTTAATGCCTCACATAGAGACAAATATGATAAATAGCATGTATGTATGTATGTACGTACGTTGTTACGATATTTTTCATAATAGATTTTTTATGCTTACATATGTTTGCATAATATATTTATTAGTAATACAATTACTATACTATTACATAATTATTTTCTTACTAATTGAGGGATTATATAAAAAGGATTATTGATTGATAAATCTTTAGAGAGAGAGAGTTCTCTTGGTTTTTTAGTTTTTGTTTTAGCTTTTAGTTCGTTAGTACTTTGAGAGATCATTAGTGTATTGGGTACACTGAAAAAGATACTTACTTGTATCACTTACTATTTTGTATTTGCACATTGAAATAAAGTTATTAGTTCCATATTTTTATGTTCACAATACTGAATTAAATTGACTAGGATAAGAAGTTGCTCTCCCAACCATAACAACGTATATATCTTATGATCTCATAGAAATTCGTCTTTGATTTTATAACTAATTCTTAGAAGTAAACAATCCTACTATTTTTGTGTTCTGTATCTTAAGTTAGAATTCTTTAAAGCAATCATCAATATATTTATTTTCATTTGTTTATTTTTGTCAATTTTCATTTTCATAATTTATTTTCTTAAAACCAAGTGCCAACATGTATTTATTATCTTTCAACTATCTAATTGTACATAATTTTTAAACTTAAATACTTTATTGATTTACAATGCAATGCTTAATAAATATGCAATAAATAATTTAAATAAAAATATTTACTTTCTTTAGAAAATCTGATAAATTCTGAGGACTACAACATTTCTTAAGATCTACTAGATATGATGATATACATGACTATGTGTATGCTTTATCTTCATATGCCCATCTATTCAGATTGCCGAAAGTATTTCACCATTTTTTAAATGTTGTCTAATTTATCAAAAAGAATCCATTTAACCATAAACCAAAATTCTTTAATGCAATCATCGATGCTCTTATTTCTATTTACTCTAACAATTTGAGTATCAAACGTCTGGCATCAGGTTTTAAAGTATAATATTAAGTTACACTTGGCACATTTTCATTCTTATAGTACTAAAATTTATCCAATGCTAACATATATTCAGTGATAGTTATGCTTCTTATTTCATTCTTGCCAATTCTCCAAAGACCACTTATCTAATATCAGGCTTTTAAATAGAAATACCAGTGCTCATTTTTACGAATGATACAACCTCCAAAAAATTTAGATTGAACACTGAGATCGGATTTGTGATTAGAATAAGTAAAATTTCTTATTTTTAATTGGTGCACTTTCATAATATCAATAAACAGGGCCTGATCTTCGATTTAAATACCTATAATAATTATGTTTAAGTAGAAGGTATAAGCCCAATACCATTTATGCTTATGGCATTTCACCCAACTCGTAAACTTAATAAAAAACACCAAGAGTGAAGATTTAACATACCAGTTTTAGATGTCACTGCTGAATGATCCAGAGTGTGTAGTGAAAGCTTTATAATTTTCAAGTACAGTGGCTTCTTTTATCATAATATTACTATGACATAAACATGACTAAATTATTTTCAAAAAGTTATATTATTCACCAACTATGAGTAGGTTATCTTCATCGTATAAGAGATTCTAATGGAAAGTGTATAATTAGTTTCAGCGCAAGTATCCTCATAAATGACTGCATCAAAACGGCTGCATTTTCAAAGTCAAAGATGTTAATTTGCCATTCACCTGACATTTGCATACCAAGAAATGACTACTTCAGCGAATATGCAATTAGTAGTGCTGCTGCTCCTCCCATATCAAGTGACAAATGTAAAATTATGACTTACTCAAATAAAAGTGGAGATGTAAACATGCAATAAGAAGAATGAAGTATAAGCAGTACGAGAAGTGCAGAAAATAATAATATAGAATGATAATATAGAACCTAATAAGAATAGTAACTAGTAAATTATTATATTAATAAAATTTAGCAAGACTTGCATAAAAAATTCTTTTTTAAAATTTACGTACCAATTCATAGTATAGAGATGACTAATTTTTAGGTTTTATATTATTGATCGTTCATGATCTTTCGTATTTGGTCTCTTTTTTTTATCTTTGAATAAAATAAGGTTTCAAATTTAAAGATTAGTGCATTCGATTTTGGTTATTATTAAACACATTAATAAAAAAGTTTAGTGATCAATAGAATTTAGTTATGGGATAATTTGATACATATTTCATGTTGTAGTGAACAAATTGAGTGATCTTATGTATTTTAACTCTTAAAGAAAAAAATTAAAGTATAGAAACTGATTAGTGGGATAATAAGTCTTTGACCTATTACATTACTCACTCTCATCATAATATCTTTTATCCTATATTACCTTTAATAACAACCGATCGAATTCATAATATTCAAAATGTTTAAAATTTTATATTGCAAGTATGCAATAATAATCAAACCTTAAAATCAATTTCTTGTGGTATACCAGTATGATCATTGGTAATGATACTAAAATTGAAATTTGTTTTAAGAGTATAAACCAAAATTGGAATTGAATACAACAAATAAAATCAACCCTTAAAAAAAAGTTAAATCAACTTCCTTTCGTTTAAGATGAATAATATCCAGGATAGTGAAATTTATGAATTAGAAACTGACAGTGAACCTGACATTAATGATAATAACAGTAGTGAAATAGGGTCTTCTTCTAAATCATTATTATCTGTACTAAAAGACAAAAAAACTACTAGTTTACCAAAAAAAAGAAAAAAATGCAAACTCATAGCTGAAGCATGGCAATATTTTAAAATAGAAGGGAATTTCGTAGTATGCCAAGTTGAACTAACTCAAGATGGAAAAAAAAAATGCGAGCAAAAATATGACTATACTAATTCAAATTCAACAACATCAATGAATTATCATATAATACAAGAACATGATATAGTCCTCAAAAGTCTGGCTAAAAAGGTATTATTTAATTTATCGTTAGGCTATACAAACTTAATAAATTGGTTTTTACAATCTGGCCAGATCAAATTTAGCAAAATTTTTTAAAAAAATTTAACTATATTTATTATCCGGATGAACTTTTTCAAATGTTTATTAGAATCAAAAGCCAGGTTGTCGGATTATTTTTAAATTTTATGTTACAAGAACCAAAAAATTTGTATAATCTTATACTTAATAAATAGATTTACATTATCCAAATTATTATAATATTGTAATAATAGATGGATAAAAAAGAACAAGTTACATTTGAACAAGTTATAAATAATGTAAAACTGCATAACCCAAATAAACAACATGAATTACAAACAGCATGTACAGAATGGATCATTATGGATTCTTTATCTTTTAATACACTTTGTGGAAAAGGATTTCAGTGATTTATAAAAAAAATTGATCCATGATTTAAACCACCATCTAATAAAGAATGTAAAAATTTCATTACAGCAGCTTATCAAGATGGAATAACCAAACTTCAAACGAAACTTAATAAAACATATGAATATGCTACCATTATTATAGATCTTTGGACTACCAGATCTAAATTTGGATATATTAGTATTACAATTTATTGGCTTACACTTGATTTTGAAATTATTGATATGCTTTTTACTATTTAACATATGCAGTATCCCCATAAAGCTGAGAAAATATATGATTATATTGATAATAAAATAGATGAATTTGGTTTAAATAAAAAATTATTTCTAGGGGTCACTGATAATGGTTCCAATATGAAAAAAGCTTTTACCATGTGTGAAGATATTGAATGCTTACCCTGTTCTGCTCATACACTTCAATTATCAGTGACAAAGGGTTTAAAAAAAATTGGTTCTTATGTAAAAAGTTTCAAAGAATTGGTAAAATTTTTTACAGAGTCAGTTAAACAATCTGAACAACTTGATGCAACACAAATAGATCTTGCATGACAAAATCATATTCGAGAAGAGGATGTTGAAATTGTTCGATTTAATTAGTTATCAGCTCTTGATATGGATGAAGAAATTGATTCAGAAGAAGAGGATGATAAGGATAGAAAAATTGATGAATTTACAATAAACGTATTGGTAATATCACTGATATTTGTACTAGATAGAACTCTAGTTACTCTTCATGGACAAGGCTCTTAGAATTAAAAGATGCAATAACATGGTTAGCATCTGTGTTGCCCTTAAAGAAAAGAAAAGAAAATAAAAAAGATGACCAAAAATTGTCTCAGTTACTATTAAAAGATTATGAGTAGAATCTGTTAAAGAGAATTGTTGATGCATTAAAACCATTTGAACAAGCAACAAAATTCTTTTCAGGAAGCAAGTATCCCACTCTTTTACTAATGTATCCCATCATTCGCAAATTACAAAATAAATTATAGATTTTAGTTTAGAATTAAGTAATAATAATGAAGATAGCAATAATAAGGATAGTAAGTTTGTTGTCGATTCTATATTATTAACATGACAATTAATATTTAAAGTTTGTGATGATTAGTAATCATTATAATTATTAATTGCTAGTAGTGGTAGATTTTAAATATTAATTATCATGCTATATGAGTTAACAACTCATTTTTGTTTAAAAATCTACTAATTACCATGCAGAGATAAGGTGCATCAGTATTAAAAAAATTAACAATAGGCTGTTCAAATTGCACAAAAAATAGAACATTTATGTATAAAAAAATTTTTTTGCACAGCATATTTGTGCTGAATTTTCAACACTGAGATACATGATGCTTATCTCTACTGCTAATTAGAATCAAATGCAGAAGTCGAATATATTTGTCTAACTTTCTTTCAAATTAATTAGACATGTTATTAGATTCTGAAAATGATGACAACACTCATTCACATGCTCCATCGCCACTACCCGATCTTGATCAAATAAAAAAGCAATTTAAAATTGCTATTTCTGACTCTTTAAATAAATATTGGCTCGATTTTTATGAAGTTGGATTGGTAGCTACTCTTTTAGACCTCCGAACCAAAAAAATGACTGCATTTACAAATAGAAAGCGAAAAAAGGCTGAAACAAAATTAAGAAATGAATTTGAGAATTTACAATATATTAATATTACTAGCAATGATCAACCATTGCAACAAACATCAACGTCAAAAGCTACTGAAATAATGCAAAATCCATTTTTTGAAGTTATTTTTGGATACAAGGTCAAGAAGATACATCTTTGGATGAGGTGGCACGATATCTGAAGATTACTCCTATTACTAATGCCAATTCTTGGAAATGGTAAAATGATCATAAAACTAAGTTTCCGATTTTGTTATTGTTAGCATGTAAATATTTGTGTGTACCAGCACTTCTGTCTCATGTAAGAGACTTTTCTCAGATGCAAGAAACCTGATTACTCCCCAACGTACATGATTAAGCTCAAAGACTATTGGAAAAATTCTTTTTTTTAAGCATAATGCTGAACACTTGAGTAGGTTTAAAAATTATGTGTAATTTTAGATTCAAATGTGATTTTTTTTTTATATGCTATTCTCAATTTTTTTATATGATTTGCAATAGGCTTAATTAAATAATGATTTAAAAAAAAAGTTATACACTATCTAGGCTGAAAAAGTCAAATACAAAGATACCAAGATAATTATTTCTATTGGAGGAATGTGCTATAAAATTGTTATAAACAAAAATACATTTTGTTGTAGTTAAAAAGGTTAAAGGTACTGATGGCAGATATAATCCTATTGGATGGGTTAAACTAGTTGAAAAGGGTTTTTACAAGAATTGCAATAATAGCTTGACTTTTTTAATGAAAAATGGTACCATTCAAAATCCTATTTTAAATTACGTAATATAACCAGAACATGCAATTAGCTGTTATATTCATTATGTCCCATGTTTTGGTTATTGTGGCATGATATTATCAAAAAGAATCGCAAAGGAAATTTATGTGTTATTAAAAGGATATATAGATAGCACTAAAAATTTTTAGTAGATAAATTTTCAAAAAATTTTTTTTTTGTGCATTTCTCTGAAAATACAGAAATAAAGATTAAACTGGAATAAATTGAATTGTGAATTTGACCAATTAATGTTAGCAGTTTAACAATAACGTTTTCTATTTTTATTTGTGTTGCCAAAAGAAAACATGCATATTTATATATAATCTATATAAATATGCATGTTTTCTATTGGTGATACTCATTGTATCTTTAATAATCTCCTAACATAATATAAATAAATAATACAAGTTTTAGACATTGATACTAGATCTTGATAATTATTGCGATATGAATACGGTTAGATGACTAAACTATAAAATAATTATTAAATGATTAATAAATAAACAGTTAAACAGCCAAACAATTAAACAATCAATAAATGGTTAAAATGGCCAAACAATTAAACAGTTAATAAATGAATAAACGATTAAACTGTGAAGTAATTAATAAATGGGTAAATGATAAGTGATTAATAAACAATTATACGATTAAATAAACAGTGAAATAATGAAGTGATTAATAAATAGTTAAATGATTAAGTGATTAATAAATGATTATATGATTAAATAAACGGTTAAATGATTAAGTGATCAATAAACAGTTAACCAATTAAGTGATTAATAAACAAATAAATGATTAAATGGTAAAACGATTAATAAATGATTATACGATTATTAACTGTGTAATTTCTAATTAGGTGACATGATTAATCGTCAGCATAATTTTTCACAGTTCCAAACCTTATTATTTCTATTATATATTAAAAATTACTTGCCTTATAATATCAAAAAATAAGGAATAGGGTTCTATAGCCTAGTGGTCTAGATGCCTCTCCTTCCACAGACAAGGTCAATGATTCATTTCTAGCTGAAGGCAAAACTCTGTAATCTATAGAAGCATATAAATATACATGAAGTCCTGTGGCTTAAGTCCATGTGAATAGAAAATCGGTATATAAGAAAGTTCTCAAAAAGAAGTTTCCCAATATGGAGAGTTGGTGCTCGATGTGAGAGAAGTGGTGAACATACCAGAAATCGAGAGAAGGCACACTAGCGAGTAATATGGTGAACATAAAAGAAAACTATAGGAAAGGAATAGACTTACTGAAACTCAAACACCTCTGGCACCAAAACCAGTTTAGTGGATATGGGATATACTAACATAGATAAAATCTAAGGAGGGTAATCTTGGTACCATACTTAGTAATCTGCGTTGAGGGTAAATTCAAAGGACTATGAATACTCGGTAACATCCAATGAGGTGGTATCTTGATATAAATAGTAATTAGATAGCCCTAACCTGGTATGTCTATGTAGTAATGGAAGGTTGTAATGCATAGGATTAAAAATCAGAAAGTTTAAATAGGGGATTCACAGGTGGATCTCAGGTATGGTAGCTAGTAGGTAACCCTCAGGCAGAACCCTTAATTAGATAATGACTAAAGTTATATGCATGGCTAGTTATACTTTCATTGATAAACTATGTATTCATTAATAACTAGATATTATTTAATAAAAAACAGACAGGCAAGATTGCTGCTTATAATACAAAAAAAATAAAAATAAAAAATTGTAAAACAGGTTTTTTTTATTTTAACAATAGTAAAATTATTAAAATTGGGATAAATATTTATCAAAATATAAATATTTAAATTTTAAATATTAAAATTATTTACAAAAATTATATGATGATTATATGATATCAACTAATCAAATTAATTAGAATTATATAACTGAGGCAAATTTAAACCAACTAAGAAAGACTTTACAATATATAAAAGTATAATTTTTAAAAATATTTTATTTACTAAAATTTTACTATAATAAAAAGAAAATTTTATTCTTTATATTATTAAATTTTGATTAAAATTAATTATAATTATAAGTTTTATTAGTATCATATTTTTATTTTCTATATAAATCTTATTGTACTACTAAAATCATATAATAAATAATCTATATACCCCCTATTCTTAAATTAGAAAAGATGAATTTGGTTTTAAGTAGATTAAATTTAATATTAGATTTGGAGTATAAAATTTGTTGTGCTTCAGAATAGAATTTTTTGTTATAAGATTCTCTAATTGATAAAATAGAAAGTTTATTATTTTTAAAAATATAAAAGTATGTAAATACTCAAGCTAAATACTTAGTACTAATAGGTTTGCTAATAATTTTGTCAATGATTTAATATAGATAATAGTTGTTAATTTGATTATTTGCAGTAGTAGCACTAAGATAAGTTTTAAAAAAAACTATAAAAATAATAGTTTTCTTATGCTTGGTTGGTTTCAGTATTATTGAGTTTAATAAAAATATTTTTGAATTTGAAAATGAGTTAACAAAAAAAGGTAATAGGTATAGATTTGTTAAAAATAGCAACATTTGGTTAATCTTTGTTAAATATAAAGAAGTCAAGAACAAAATATATCTATTTTAGTTTAGATTGTATATTAAAGCTAAAAAGTGATTATATAAGTTAGTAAAGAAAAGAGAAGATAAGTTTTTAATATTATTTTCTGTATCTTTAGGTAATATTGTATAGTTTTTAATTGTACATATGTGAATATAATATAAGGCAGCTTTAAAACATAGTTTAGAGCATTCTTGTAAAGAGTTAATAAAAGTAATTTTGAATTCAAAAGATAAAAATGCTTTGTATTTATTCAATAGTTTGAGAGCAATTTGGTATTTAATATAATTAAAGTTTTTTCTTAGTTAATATTATAAAATTGTCATTTGTAAATATTGAAAAAATTTTCAAACCAGGTTTTAAATTCAGATAAATAATTTTTAAAGAAAGAATTTGAAATGTTCAAAGAAATTGTTTTTTAAAAATATTAAAAAAAATATTAATATTAAATTTGTTATTATTTTGAATTTTAAAGAGTAATTAATTAATATTATTCTTACTAATATAGTAGTATAGTTTGAAATAAATAGAATAAAGTTTAAGATCTTTATAGAATTTTTTTGTATAGATAGCTTTGTATTTGTCATAAAGAATAAGATATAAATAAGTCAGTTGAGAGTTATTTGTTTTAAGTTAGTAGTAGTATATGAGAGAATAGAAGTATAGAAGACAAATATTTTTGAATAATTTAATTAAATAAATAGAGTTGTAGTAAATTCTTAAAGAAGAGAGATAAAGATAAAATAGATTAATTCAAACAGAATAGATATGAATTTGTTAATTGAAGAATTTGCTTTATAAATAAGATTAGTTAAAAATTTAGGTTTTTTGTTTGCTAAAGTTTTGATTAAATATTTGTAATTAGGTTTTAATTTAGGAGTTTTATCAAATATTTGTTGAATAATTTTTTTTGAATAAATGTTAATAAGATATGATTTAATAAAAGTATGAAGTTGTTGGGCAATAGGGTTATTAAGTTTGGTGTTGTTTTTCATGGAACCAATTACTAAATATTTTTTAAACCAGTCAATATTATTGTTAGTATTTCTTTTTTTTTTTGTTTTTGTTGTTTGAAATACTGTTGTTTTTTGTTTTTTTTAAAAGAAAAAATTTAAAAAGTTGAATTTTTTTTATTGGATTTTATTTGTTGAATTTTAATAAGAGCAAGAATAAGTTGTTGTTTAAGGGTAAGAGAAGAAATAATTTGTTTTTTAAAAGTAAAAGAAGAAGTCTGAATGTTTAAGCTAATTAATTTAAATTTAATTAAGGCTGTAATGATTTGCTATTAGAATATAAGAGAAGAGGTTTGTGCTAAAGGTTTAAGTTTAATGTTTAATAAATTAGAAACACAAAGTCTATAAATTAGATTTTGTTTAAAGATTGTGCAAATTGTATAGTCAGAAGTATAACTACATTGTTTTGTAGTTATGCAGAAAATATTTTTATTTCTATATATAAGACATGTGTGATAATATTAAGAGTATGCAATAATTGCAGGTGTAAAGTTTATTTGAAAAGTAAAAAATTGCATACAGGATTTAAAAAAGAATAAATTAAATTATTGTTGTTTAAAAGTAGATGATTAGAGTAGTTTATCAGAGATTTTTTTAAAGTATTAAGTGAAAATATTAGAGGTAGTTTGAGGCATAAGTTGTCTAAAAAATGTTGAGTAAGAAATTCTATAAAACCAAAAAGTAAAACTAGTATAATATATTTTACAAAAACATATAGCAATAGTAGATTGTTAAAGAACTCTAAAGTAATAATATTTTTTAAAAGTTGTATTGCAATTAATTAGATTATCATTTGCAGAATGTATACATAGAAATTGG